CTCCATCTCTTGGGCTCAAGCGAGTCTCCTGCCTCAGCCTCCCAAGTAGCTGGGACCACAGGTGCCTGCCACAACGCCCAGCTATTTTTTGGTTGCAGCTGTCATTGTTGTTTGGTGGGCCCGGGCTGGATTCAAAACTGCCACCTTAGGTGTATGTGGCTGGCGCCTTAGCCACTTAAGCCCAGTGCTCTTTCCAATTTTCCCTATATTAATATTTCAAGGATTGCCTCCTTTTTTAAAAAAGCAAGAGTGACTTTTGAATCTGTGCTTTTAATTAACTCCTTATATTGAAAGGTATATACATATAATTTACATGTTCAGCAACAAATTTTGTCTGTTGTAATGTGTATTTCAAGTCTGATGAAATGCCATGTGTCTATAATGCTTTTTATAATGGAAATAATTTTTTGGAAAGATTATTGTTTGCTACTGAGGTTTTGGAATTTGACTGAGTGACTGGTATGTGCAAGTATGGTATCGTAGAGGAGATGAGGGTGCATATCATATATGGATTTTGCTTTCTAGCAACTTAAAATGTAGTTGGGAAGGTAGTACAGTTTAGGAAGTCAGTGCCATAGGAGCAGAAAGTAAGTTATTTGGCAGTGGTAAAAGTAATGACACTATCCTTTCTATATGCATGGTGCAGATGACAGAGAACTTGTCATTTCATACTTTATAATACATTGAATACATACTTTGTGGAACAGGGGTCCTCAAACTTTTTAAACAGGGGGCTAGTTCACTGTCCCTCAGACCATTGGAGGGCCGGACTGCAGGCCCTGGGTCAAGTTGGCTGCTAAGCAGGACAGGCAGCGGTGGCAAAAACACCCGGCAGGCCTTGGGTGGGCTGCATGTGGCCCACGGGCCATAGTTTGAGGACGCCTGGTGTAGAAGGACTTACATTAGGTATATAACAGGGAAGCAAACAGACATCTGCCTTTCCTGTTATCACTGAAAACCAAACATTTCACTATTATTTTCTTATTTTTTTTTTAACTAGAAATTTTTGTGGATTTTTCTGTTTCTCCTGGCAACCCCAACAGTATTCAAAATTCAAGCTATGGCTCCAAAAGGCAAAATAATCCCTGAAAATGGAAGGTAGTTACATTGTAGAAGTGACAATTGTTAGCACATTGCCAGCAGTGTAAGAATGTGATATTGGCATGTGTGTGCCAGTTGGCTCTTTGGTTTAAGGAATATTCTAGAGACATCCAAAAGACATAATCCTTTTCCAGTTGCTTCTATGTAGTGCTATAGCCTAAACAATAACTCAACAAAATGCTTTTTGACCACAACACTTACTCATCAAGCATTTAGATATTTTCACAAAAGTTAAAAATGATATGAGGTCCAAAGAATGCACTTGGGGAATATTTATATTTATTTCCATATTCAAATATTTGAAACCTCTTCCAGACTCCAGATGCTTGCAATAAACTGACTTAAAAAGTACTGTCATGTGGACAGGCAGTTAAATTGTTATGTATGGTGACAACAGATGTTCTTCACTTTTATTATCCAGTAGAAATGTGTGAGCTACATTTGTAATTAAAATTTTTATTTTTATTTTATTTTATTTTTTGGCAGTTTTTGGCTAGGACCAGGTTTGAACCTGCCACCTCCTGTATATGGGGCTGCTGCCCTACTCTTCTGAGCCATAGGCATCACCCTAAATAGACACATTAATAAAATGGAAAAGAAAGAGGTGAAATTGATTTTAATGCAAAATATCTAAAACATCATCATTTCAATGTGGAGTCAATATAAAAAATTATTGAGATGTTTTACATGTTTGTGCTTTTTCTAATATATATATTACTGAATGAAATGTGTACTTTACACTTACACCACATTTTAATATGGAAGAGTTACATTTCAAGCGTTCTTAAACAGCACAGTTCTGTCTTTCCCAGTTCTCAGTCATTTTCTGAGCCATTTGGAGGCAAGAAAACCAGTGTGTCATTGTAATGATGTCCAAATGCCCTGAGCCGGTACACACCATACATCATTACTTCCATCTTTTGGAGAGTCAGTCCATTAAAGGTAATAGCCATATCCGAACAGCAGCCTTCTACTACTTGTTGAGGGTTATTAGACATATATTTTTGAATAAGATATACCACTGGTTTTGTATTAAACACATCTTTTCCTTGGTTATCCTCTGCATTTTCTGCAAGAACTCCTGCCTGTTTCAGGCAGATTGCCAGCTGCTTATCTTCAGGTAACTTCCAAATCACACTTTGATCTGCACAGTTTTCAGAGTTGTTGAGAAGTCTGTGAAGCCTTGTCATGGACTCTATACTTAAGACAATTCCTCCTTCCACAGTCACATATTCGAGGTCTCCAGATACAGTAGTGTGGCCCAGATAAAAGGGTTGTGATGCGTCCCTTGTAAACAAAAGGTACTTTAAATTTTCAATGACAGCAAACGTAGTGGGAAGTGCAAGAAAGAACCAGTTATAGTTGTTGCCGTACTTTTCAAAGACATGTTTGTAAGTTTTCCTCATCTGTATCCACTTGTCATTTCTTTCTATTCGTATATTGAATAAATTATCATTTTTAGTAGCATAGAGCTCTGCTTTGTCACAGTGTTTGGGCCAAGTCTCTTTCAGTATAGGCCAGTACATCTCATCCTGGGTTTCTCCCAGGATGATACAGAAAACACGGATACTTTTACCGAGCTCCATGAACGGCATTTCTGAAATGTTTAAGAAATCTTTTCCGTTAGGTGGGCGCAGGTGATGGTGCTCGTGGTCTCTAGTTTGATCTCCGTGTCGTATGTGAATTTGACCAAACAGAGTTATCAAAACCCAGGAAATGCTCCCAAGTAACATACCCTTTAAAAATAAGGCTCCACTAGCAGAAACCATCTTCGAGGCGTTGAGGGCCCCGCGCGCGGGTCCAGCGTAGCCCGGGATCGGGCGGGTGGCGGGAGCGGCGGGGCGGCGGGGCCGGGGTGGTGGGAAGAGGGGGCGGCGGGAGCCGGCGTCCGCGCGGCTGGGGCCGGGCCGCTCTAGCTGCGGGCGGCCGCTTCTCGGTGGTGTCAGGAAGGGGGCGGGGCGGGGCCGGACGTGTCGCCCCCGCGCGTGGGACCCCGACTGCTGCGGGTTTCCCTGGAGTCCCGGGGGCCTGAACTACCGCACCAGCAATAGCGTTGAAAGTGATCATAGATCCAGTCGCAGATGGCTCAAAAGTTGACCGGACTTCAGCACTCTGAAAACTAATTTGAAATTGCTTTACCTCCTCCTTTGTGTATTCAACGCCCGATAGGCGTCGTTTATGTTAATTAGCATTGGGTGGGTTTTTTTTTTTTTTTTCTTTTTCACCCGGACCAGAGTGCCGTGGCATTGGCCTAGCTCGCTGCAACCTCCAACTCCTGGGTTCAAGCATCCTCCTGCCTCCGCCTGCTAAGTAGCTGGGACAACAGGCACACGGCACCCCGTCTGCCAGCTCTGTTTTTCAGTAAAGACGGAGTCTGGCTCTTCTTCAGTCTGGCTTTTCTTCAGACTCTGTCTTTACCAAAAAACAGAGCTGGCGGACGAGGTGAGTCCTGACCTCAAGTGATCCTCCTCCCTCGGTCTCCCCAAGTGTTAGGGTTACAGGTGTGAGCCCGCACGTCTGGCCTAGGTTCTGTCTGCTGCTGCTTCTTCCTTGTTGGCCATCCTGGGTACGGTGCTGTGGCATCTTAGGTCACAGCAACCTCAAACTTGGGTTCAAGTGATCCTCTTGCCTCAGTCTCCCAAGTACCTGAGAGTACAGGCGCCCACCACAATGCCTGGCTATTTTTAAGAGACAAGGTCTTGCTCTGGCCCAGGCTGGTATCGAACCTGTGAGCTCAGGCGATCCACCCACCTCGGTCTCCCAAGTGCTAGAATTACAGGCATGAGCCACCACGTCTGGCCTAGGTTCTTTTGGTTTTTGAATTTTTACTGATACTCATTTTGGTATGTGTGTGTTCAATCAAATAATCTCCTTTATATTCTTTCCATCAATCTATTAAAAAACTACCCAGAGTCTGGATTTAAACATGTTACCTATGGAATTTGAGAGTAAACTACTTCCCTCATACCATTGTGACATTTTTTTTTTTTTTTTAAAGAGACAGAATCTTACTCTGTTACCCAGGCTGAAGTGCAGTAGTGTGATCATAGCTCACTGTAGCCTCCAACTCCTGGCCTCAAGCAATCCTCCTTCTCAGCCTCCTAAGTAGCTGGGTCTACAAGCCACACACCATGTCTGGTTAATTATTTTTTACTTAGTTTTTAATATTTTTGTTGAGATGGGATCTCACTGTGTTCCCCAGGCTGATCTCAAACTCCTGGGCTGAAGTGCTCTTTCTGCCTTGGCCACCTAAATGCTAGAATTGCAGGCCTGAGCTGCTGTGCCCAGCCCTCTCTTTTTGGTCAACACATCAAATATAACATTTGAAGTCTTAGTTTTCCCTTAGATTTACTTTACTATTCTTGATATGAATTTACCAGTCACTCTAAGTTGTGAACCATTAAAAAGAAATTCTACTGAATACTCCTGAGGAATATATTACATTATATTAAAAATATCAAAACTTTGGCATTTTGTTTGGTCAACTTTTAAATAAGCAAAGAGCCTTTAATGTGCTAACTGTATATAATTCATGTCTAGTGAACTACTTTAAATATTCTTGAATTGAGGACATCGTGAGATTTTGAAGCTTCTTTCAAAAAGGGAAATGTGAATTTTTATAGTTTATGTTTTTTTACCTGACAGATGCAACAGCTTGAGAGACAAGTTATTGATGCTGAACGTCAAGCAGAAAAAGCTTTTCAACAGGTAGAGTATAATTTTAGTTAAAATTTTTCTGACTGTATCCATATAAAGATTGTTTTGCCCATAATAGGAGTTGTCAGCCCTATTATCTTATACAGCCACCTCTGTATCTTATTTTGACTGCTCGATCCATAGAGAGAATGGAGAATCCAACTCTATTTTGCTCATTAACAAATTTTCAAAAGAAAAAAAGGCTTCCATTAGGAAGTTTTATCTTCACTTCTGAGAAAATCAAATATGACTTCTATGGTAATCCTAACTATAATTAAGTTTTATATAGAAATGTTTATAGCAGCTTTATTTATAGTAATAAAAAGTTGTTAAGAATGGCAATGCTATATTATAAAGGAATGAATAAGTGAACTACATCAACTCCACGAAATATTAAACAACCATTAAGATAATTGTTGCCAAGGATACATATTAGTATGCAAAGATTCTTAGAGTTATATTAGGAAAATTCAAACCTAAGAGTTAAAAAAAGGAGGAGAGGAAATACCTCAAAATTTTAACAAAAATTTAAAATGCATCATGGAATGATTTTTTTTCCCCTATATTTTTATATGTTACAATTTTGTATACTACTTTTACTTTTTTCCTTATATTTTTATACTTTACAATTTCCCCTATGATTTTTCCCCTATATTTTATACTTTATTTTTATTTATTTATACTTTATTTATTTTATTTATTTTTTAAAAATTATTTATTTATTTATTTATTTATTTTGGCCGGGGCTGGGTTTGAACCTGCCACCTCTGGCATATGGGGCTAGTGCCTTACACCATTGAGCCACAGGTGCCACCCCTATTTATTTTTTTTAATAAATAAGTAAAATAAATTTATTTTATTTATTTATACTTTATTTTTATTTTTTCCCTTTACAATTTTGCACACTACTTTTACTTTTTTCCCTATATTTTTATACTTTACAATTTCCTCTATGATTTTTTCCCCTATATTTTTATACTTTATTTTTGTTTATTTATACTTTATTTATTTTTAAATAAATTTATTTTATTTATTTATACTTTATTTTTTCTCCTATATTTTTATACTTTATTTTTTCCCCTATATTTTTATACTTTACAATTTTATATACTACGTTTACTTTTTTCCCCTATATTTTTATACTTTACAATTTCCCCTATGATTTTTTTCCCCTATATTTTTATACTTTACAATTTTGTATACTACTTTTACTTTTTTAAGTGATGTTTTGTTAAATCACTTAACCTTTTAAGTGCCAGCAGTAATATGAATGATTTGGATGGGCCCCTCCCAGACTTAAAGTTTATCTAATGGTCCTAAATCTATAGCTACTCATTTTATCAAAAGATCTCTGTCATCTTCAGTTGAATCAATGAATTCTGGTGTCCTGTAGCACTATATGGTAAATATAGTTAACTGGCTTTTTGTTTGTTTTTCTTTATTAAATCATAACTGTGTATATTGATGCATTTATGGGGTACAGTGTATTGATTTAGTTAACTGTCTTTTATTGTATATTTTCTTTTTTTTGAGACAGAGACTCAAGCCGTCACCCTGGGTAGAGTGCTGTGGCATCACAGCTCACAGCAACCTCCAACTCCTGGGCTCAAGC